GATCCCTTTATCTCTTCCACCTCAGATCCCTTACCCTCAGCAACCTCAGAATCTTTACCCTCAGCAACCTCAGATCCCCCAGGATCGTCAACTTAAGAGCCCCCAGCAACCTCAGATCCCTTACCCTCAGCAACCTCAGAACCCCCAGGAACGTCAACTTAAGAGCCCCCAGCAACCTCAGATCCCTTACCCTCAGCAACCTCAGAACCCCCAGGAACGTCAACTTCAGAGCCCCCAGCAACCTCAGATCCCTTTCCCTCTGCAACCTCAGATCCCTTACCCTCAGCAACCTCAGATCCCTTACCCTCAGCAACCACTGATCCCCCAGGAACGTCAACTTAAGAGCCCCAAGCAACCTCAGATCCCTTACCCTCATCCACCTCAGATTCCCCAGGAACGTCAACTTCAGAGCCCCCAGCAACCTCAGATCCCTTTCCCTCAGCAACCTCAGAACCCTTACACTCAGCAACCACTGATCCCCCAGGAACGTCAACTTAAGAGCCTCCAGCAACCTCAGATCCCCCAGCAACCTCAGATCCCCCAGGAACGTCAACTTCAGAGCCCCCAGCAACCTCAGATCCCTTACCCTCAGCAACCTCAGAATCCTTACCCTCAGCAACCTCAGATCCCTTACCATCAGCGACCTCAGAACCCCCAGCAACCTCAGAACCCCCAGCAACGTCGACTTCAGAACCCCCTGCTATTGCCATATGATGCTTCACAGCCTCTGTACCCTTCATACCCTAAGCCCCAAATACCTACGAAAAATCAGTATCCTCAGCCACAGACACCTGTTAAACCTCAGTATCCTGAGAGACCACAAGACCCTGTGATTCCCAGCACTAAAGGTTGTGATGTGCCACCAGCTTCAAGAGTACCATGTGGAGCTCCAGACATCACTGCCACTGAATGTGAGGCCAGAGATTGTTGCTTTCAACAATCTCTGGCCTTTCAAGGACAGTCTTGCTACTTTGGAAAAGGAGGTTAGTATTGAACTGGCTGCTCTTGTGAGACGAAAACTGAAATACCTTAGCCTGTAAAACATTTCATTCAAAACAAAAGTGACTAATCGGAAGTTCTTACAAGTGGAATTTGGTGTGTATAGTTTAACTTACCATATCCTGTCTTTTTTTTCCATTAGTGACAGTCCAGTGTACCAAGGACGGCCAATTTATTGTTGTTGTAGCCAAAGACGTCACCCTGCCCCACATTGACCTTGAAACAATCTCACTGTGGGAAGGAGGTCCAGGCTGCACACACGTTGACTCTAATTCCATTTTTGCTATCTATTTCTTTCCTGTTACTGCCTGTGGCACTGTTGTCATGGTAAAATCAAAATTAAAAAAATTGCTTTCATTTAGGCAATAATCCAGTTATTTTTCAATAATTAACCTTTTTGCCATTTTAACACATTGTAGGAGGAGCCTGGAGTTATAATCTATGAGAACAGTATGACATCTTCCTATGAAGTGGGTGTTGGACCTCTTGGAGCCATTACCAGGGACAGCAGCTATGAGTAGGTGAACATTAGAAAAGTATCATATTAATAAATATATAAGCCAGTTCAACACCCATTCTCTTTTCCAGATTACTCTTTCAGTGTAGGTACATTGGCACCTCAGTTGAAACTCTGGTGGTCGAAGTTCTGCTGTTGGATAATCCTCCTCTGCCAATTGCTGTTGGTCTTGGACCCATCAGAGTGGGTATGAAGTTGGGCAATGGCCAGTGCATTACAAAGGGTTGCAACGAAGGTCAGTATATGCTGCCTGCAAAGCGATGCAGATCATTTTTCAAACTTGGCTGTCGTAATGACTTGTGCATTTGGTCTCCCAGTGGATGCGGCCTACACCTCTTACTATCAGGACTCAGACTATCCTGTTGGCAAAGTACTGAGGGATCCAGTATATGTGGAAGTTCAGCTGCTTAACAAGACAGATCCCACACTGGTTCTGACTCTTGGACGCTGTTGGGCAACTACAGGCCCCAACCCTCATAGCCTGCCCCAGTGGGACATTCTGATTAATGGGTAACTAAAACACTTTTTTCCGCTATATTAGTAATGATAACAAGCTGGTTCTTTACATCTAAGTTAATTATGTTTATTAGAAAGATTTCTTAATGCTATTTGGATCTGACTGCGATGAGTGTTAAATTTTATTATGAACAGTGCTTAAAATTGAGGGAAAATTACCAATGATATTATAATAGACAAGTTTATCTGCAAAATAGAAGTACAAATTAACTTCTATAGATAAAATACATTTAAATCTCACAAAAGCAAGTACTGTGCAGAAGTCAGCAAGATGATAACGGAACATGCTGTTGTGTAGTGAACAAATGACCTTGTAATGATGCAAGTGACATTTCTACATTTCAGCAAGAAGCTATTCATAGCCATTGCAGTTTTAGGTTTGAGGCAATTTTTTTATTTTATCAACATGTCTGACTGGAAGTATTTTCAGTAAATTGAAGTCCTAGTCTAAGTATTCACTTGAATTTGTTAGAGAACCTGTGGAGGGCGCTAAAAATAAGGGTGATGGCATGAAGGATTTCCAACCTTCATGACTGGTGATGATGATGACTTATCACTGAAGATAAGTCATCAAAAATATCGGTCTAAGAAAAGGCTCAGCAATTATGGGAAGGGCTTGATTATTGAAATCGCATGACAGGGTAATCTCAGGCTCCCAGCAATTAATTTTCATCCTTTTCTCAAAAATTTCAGAGCTCAGCGCACACCATCTCTCTCTCATCGCTGCTATTGCTATGAGAGAGCTAGAGATGTGAATCGTGGTACTATCGGAGACGAGAAATAGCCCTCTCATAGGCTTCAAACGTTTTTCGAATACACTCACGGTTCCTGAACGGGAAGGAGTTGTTCGGACTGCTTTTTTTCAGAAAAGCTGACTGGGTATCTCAGCCTAAATGCCCCGGACTTACGCTTTAGCACTTCCGCATTTTTTTTTTTTTTTTTTTTTTGGCCACATAGACCACTTCCTGGAGCAGGCAACAGTATGTTAACAATAGCTCCTCGGTCGCTGCAGGACTGTTAATGATGCTTATAGAATTATTCAGAAGTCCTGAAGCGCTCCAACAACGACAAAGGATTTAATCTGGATGTGTCAAACTTCACAATAACTTAAAAGGTAAGTTAATAAATCGTTTGTATTCACCATAATGCCTTATGTCTGACGTAGCTAACAGGGACAAGCTTACAAAGACGCTATGTAAACGTTAAGTGTTTTGATTTTCTGTGCGATGATGTTATCTATCTATCTATCTATCTATCTATCTATCTATCTATCTATCTATCTATCTATCTATCTATCTATCTATCTGTATAGCCATATATCTATGTAGTGCCCAACTAGTAGCTATCAGTCGAAGCTGAAGTTAGCTTCCGAATGTAGCTTCTAATTCACATAATAGCTAAACATTACACTTTTTTACTATCTTGAGCATTTTTAATGTGTTGTATTATAAAACCTACAATACCCAGACATTTCAAACCTAACTGGATTATTCTGCACTAATAGCAGAATAAACATTTGTGAAACTTTCTAATTGATTTGTGAAATTTGTAAAATATTAATAAATTTCAGAACGTTTTTTGCATCTGGAACGCATTAAATCTGAATTAACAAATTGGCATTTGTTATTTTTAACTTTCTGTTTTCTTTCTTTTTTATATCTTTATTATAGCTGGAGTTGGACAGGAGTTTTGTTTTGTGACTTCCTTGAGGGAGGGATCGGCTGAGCTAATGCTACCAACAGCTTTTCCGCCTCCTGCTATTAACTTTTTTGATTTTCTTTATATAGAAAGTATTTCTATCCGTAACTCTGTTTCCATTTTGTATATTTTCTCTATTTTTTATTTTTACCTTAATGCTTCCCTGGTCAATCGAAGTGGCAATGTACATCCTCTTGATTACTGGCAAATGGAGAAGGACCTCGCTGAAGCAAACAGAAAGGGGCGGGGACGGACCACTGGCAGCCTCATACCTTATTTGGAAATAGGACCATTGCACTCCGGAAGTGAAGGGGGCGCTATTTCCTATATTATCCGCGATTTCCCGTTTTTATTTTCTTTTGATATTTGTGATATATTTTCACCTTTAGAAAGGAGTTGTACTCTCGGCATGTAGCCTATATAACTTGTATCTTTTATTTAATTTTGCTCAGCTCACAATTTTTTTTTAACAAATTCTGTAGTTTTCTGTGTACTTCTAAATCTCTTCTTCGTCGCATTTTTTCGGGCCTGCTACCGTCTCCAGTGGCGTGGAGGTGGTAACACAACTAATATAATTACATTAATCAGAATAGCACAAAGTCTTTATTATTTATTCATTTTTCATTTTCTTAAGGATGTAGAGCTAATTAAATGACTTAAACAAGACATCAAAGTGGTTCCAGTTTCTCTCTATGGACAACCTGTTGAAACTGAGGCAAATATTAAATACTTTGGGTCATTCCTGGATAGTCAGCTCAACTTTGCTAAAAACACTGACTATATATTTAAGAAATGTTTTCAGACTCAGAGACTCTATCTTTTAAGGAGACCCAGTGATCTTGGGGTCACCCAACTAGAGCTCGTGTAGAAGACAATGTTGAGTGTTTTAACTTTTCATCCCCTCGGCTGGTTTAGTCACATGAGCTGCACAATAACAGTCAAACTTTTAAGAATACTTTGAATGGCAGGTAAAACAACTCTGTCTCAACTGTTTGCTGAAAGAACATGGAAGACGGCAAGAAATTTCAGCAGAGAACGTCCATCCTCTTTATTCATCAGTTTGAACCTCTGAGCTCATGAAAGCTCAGAGGTTTCCCTCTGGTACCTAAGAACATTGATTACAAGTCATTTATTGACAGTGCAATAATCATTTTTAACCAAACTAAATGATAACATTTACCTGTTGCATGCTAAGTGTTTTACTCGATGCACAAATTGTTGATATGGTGTGTTTTATTTTATAGTTTTAGAGTCTGAGGAAAATTTCCACCTCAATAGACTAAATAGTTTCATCTTGTTTTTTCTTCTATATAAGACTCTACCAATAAAAAATCTCTCTAAATAATACATATAGCACCACATAAACAAAAATCAGAATCCGTATCTGTTTAACAATCCTAGTTGTTACAACCAGATTTGTCATTCTTTTATTAACCTTATTCATTTGTTTGTTATTGACTTTTGCTCAATTAAGTTTCTTATGTATACATTGTAAATGGTATTTTTATCATAGTTGATCATGTTGATTTTCATGTATCCTTATTTAATTTATTCCTCCTATAACTGATGGAGATATATAGATATTATTTATAATATATAAAGGTCTTGTTTATGTCATTTAATTAGCGCTACATCCTTAAGAAAATGAACAAATATGTTGTTTTATAATTTATCTTTTACGATGCCAGTGTTGTGTGTATGTTGTGTGTGGGTGAGTAAGATGTGTGGCAGCCGTCCTCCAGTCGGAAGGGGGCGCTGCGTGCTGAAACCCGCATGCTTTGGGAGCGAGTGAGAGACGATATGTGTAGCAGAGTGTGTGGACCATAGACATAATATAAGGATAGACGCCTCATGGACCGCTCTCGCCTATTGTCGCTGACG